AGTTCTTTAAAGCTTTCTCTCCCCCGCTATCATGACCCCAGTTCTACCTTACAAATCCAGCTAGATATGTACACTGGTACAGATAAGAGCTCTGGACACACAGAATCCAGTACAAATAAACCCCTCAGGGACAGTAATGGGAGTAGCAATACCATGAGGGTGGGGGAGAAGAGGAAGAAATGGAGAACCGACTACCCCACCTGAGGGAGACAAACAACAGACGTGGGCGATAAGAAAATAATAATTTATCAGGGGTTCATGAGGATGGGAGGGAAAAAAGGGGACCTGATATCAAAGGCTCAAGCAGAAAATATTTTGAAGATGATGGCAACACATGTACAAATAAATGTGTTTGAAAAAATGAAGAATGGATTTTTATAAGAGCTGTAAGAGCCCCCTACAAAATCATTTATTTATTTTAGTCATAAGAAGCAAAATGATTTATTAATAAATAAAATTTAAAAACAACAGAGATCACATGGCAACATTTGGCAAAACCAACAACCTATTAATTGGAAAGGCCTTTTCAGCAACATAAATGGTGACTACACGTGTGGACGTCACCAAATGGACAAGACCAGAATCAAATTGACGGCATCTGTAGCAAAGAGACGATGGAGAAGCTCATTGTCATCAGTCAGCGGCTGACCGTGGGGCAGATCATCAGTTGTTCGTAGGCAAGTTCAAGTTGAAGCCCAAGAAAATTGAATCAAGTCTAGGAAGCCAAGTATGACCTTGAGCATTTCCTGTCTGATTTTTAAAGACCATCCCAAGGGCAGATTTGACACGTTGACCACGGAGGACCAGAGACCAGAAGTGTTGTGGGGTGGCACTAAGGAGATCCCACACGAAGGAAATGAAGGGGAACTGAAAAGATAGGACAGAAAGAACATGCCAAAATAGATGTCAGAAGAAACTCAAACTTGCTTTTGAAAGTTAGAGGGAGCAGAACTCTGCAAAGGATCAAATTAAAAGGCCCTGGATAGAATGAAAGGAAAATGTGGAATGAAACTGAAAGCTACTAAAAAGATTAGGTTTACTGGTAGGATAGAGATGATGGGGCTCCCAAGTCTGTGGTCCTTAGTCACCCTTCAGGTCTAGAAGTGAGCTCACCCGATGGCTCAATTTTCAGCCAAATGCTATACCAGTCTGTACGGGGAACGAAACGTAAGTGAGACGCACACAGATTAGAATAATGAACACTTTGAGATCCAAGGGGCAGCATTCACCCAAGGACAGAGGTCAGAGGGTCTGGAAAGAAATTATGTAACGTTGAACAGATTTCAAAGACAAAGGCATCTTACGAAGGCAAATTACTGTAATGAAATGTGTGACGGGAAGAACATGCATGCCACTTCTCAGTTGAAGGAACCGAAGGAAAAACCCAAGCCTCAGGTTCAACACTGAAGGATCGTATGGCAAAATATTGAACACTACAGGAAGCAGCGAAAGAGAATGGGAAGATTACATAGTCACTGTACCCAAAAGAACTCAAACTGGACCAAAAAAAACTCAGGCATTTTGGGAGGTAGCATGTGATCGAAAATGGATAATATTGAAGAAGTCCAAGCGGCCCTGGAGGCATTGGCTGAAAACAAGGCTCCAGGAATTGGTGGGATACCAATTGAGATGTTTCAGCAAATGGTTGCACTTCTAAAAGCACTCACTCATGTACACCAAGAAATTTAGAAGACAGTTTACTGGTCAACTGACTGAAAGAGTTCCATATCAGTACCAATCCCAAAGAAAGGTGATCCAACAGAATGTGGACATTATTGAACCATAGCATTCATATTACAGGCAAATAAAATTTTGCTGAAGCTAATTAAAAAAAAAAAAAAAAAGGTTGTAACAATACCTGCCAGAAACTGCCAGACACGCATCAAGCCAGATTTAGAAGAGGCCATGGAGGGGGGATGTTTAGAAGGGGCCATGGAGGAGGGATGTTGTAGCGGTGCTAGAGGAATCCTGGCTGCTGAGAGCAGAGGATACTATGAAAACGCTGCCCTGTGGGTTACTGACAACTCAAAGGCGTTTGTGTGGATCCTAACAAATTCTGGACAACAATGAGAAGACTGGACATTCCCGAGAAGTTAATTGTGCCCTCATGGAACCTGCACCTCCACCAAGAGGCAGTTGTTTGCATAGAAGAAGGGGTAATGTGGACTTTGAAACCAGGAAAGGTGTGTATTAGGGTGTATCCCTTCACCATACTTGTTCAGTTTCCATCCTGGGCAAATACTCCAGGAAACTGGGCTGTACAAGTCATTAATAATGTGCCTGCTTGCTGAAGCACTTGCTGATGAAGATCACTACAGCTATCAGTATGCATTATATACCCCAACGTTAAAATATATGGTTTTTTACCACAAGTGGACAAATAAGCAGCATCAGGACAACGGGAGCAAAGCATGGCAGTGCGACCAGTGCCCACAGAAGCAGCAGTAGAATCAGATGACCCTTTATACGGGGCAAATCTGATATAAAAAGCAAGATGTCCCTTTGAGGGCTAAGAAGCACCTGACCCCAAGCCACGATCCCAGAAGAATTCATCTCACTTCATCTGTATGCCAGAAGAAAACTTCATTGGACATATTATTAAGAGAGACCAATTCCGAGAAAAGGATATTATTTATGATTGGTGAAGTACAGGGTCATCAAAAAAGTGGAACCCCCTCCATGAGATGGACTGACACAAGTGGATTCAAACACAACATTTGGGAGGATGGCATGGGGCCAGGCGGTGTTTTGTTCTGAGTCGGAATCGGCTCAATGGCACCACACCACAATAACAACACACGCGTGCAAACGCTAGACAGTGAATAAGGAAGAGGAAGAATGGATGTGTTTCAATTATGGTGTTGGCAACGAATATTAAACATACAATGGACTGCCAGAAGAACACATCGCTCTTGAAGAAGCACAGCTGGGATGTTCTTGAGCAGCAAGGATATCAAGACTGCACCTCGTGTACTTCGGACATGCTATCAGGAGGGACATGATGCTTGGTCAAGTAGAGGGTCCTCGAAAAAGCAGAAGACCCTCATCAAGATGGATTGACTCGGTGGCTGCCACAAAGGGCTGAACCTAGGAAAGACGTGAGGAAGGCGGGACCAGGCAGTGTTTGGTCTCCATGGGTCAGAACCAAGTCAACAGCACCTAGGAACAACGGCAAGCACGATCACGAATATTTGGATGCAATCTTTACAGACTCAGGTGATCGAAGAATTAATGCACGGAGGGGAAAAAGAGGAACTGATACCAAAGGCTCAAGTAGAAAGAAAATGTTTTGAAAATGTTGATGGCAACATAGATACAAGTGTGCTTAACACAATTGAATGATGGATTGTCATAAGATTTATAACCCCCCCAATTAAATGATCAATTAAAAAAATGCAAAAAACTCCACGTGAAACAAAATATCAAAATTTTAAATACAAACAGGATCAAACCGTGCCACATGCCAGGACCTTATAAGGTGACTTTCGTTTCCCCACCCCCCACTGCCTGTTTGTGACTATCCTGTTTCCTCCGCATCACTTACTGAGAGATCAGCCTCTCTGCCATTGGATCACAGTGACTCCTCTCTTGTAAATCAGGTGATCAAAGGTGGGGGATTGTTTCTGGACTCTCCTCTGCTCCAATGGTCTGTTTTGTGTATCTTTGAACAACTTCATTTTGATTTCTTTTGTAAATAGACATTTTGCCCAGTTCTATTTTTTACAAGGACCTAATGTTGAAAACTCATCGGAAAACAACCGAGTTTGTCTCTTTCAAAATGCCTAGCCCAGTATCTGCCACAAGAATAACAACAGCTTAATCATGTGATTCACGCTGAGTCCCTGCTGAGTCATCATGACCCTACAGGACAGGGTGGGCCTGCCCCCGTGCGTTTCTGAGGTTGTAACTCATCTTCTTCCCACAGAGTAGGGCAGGGTTTTAAACTGGAGACCTTGCGGTTCTCCGTCCCATGCGTAACCACACTGCCACCAGGGCAGCAGTAATAACTAGCATTTATCGAGTACCGACTACAGTTCACACACCGTGCCAACTACTTTTAAATGTGTACATTTCACCAAACTCTTCCAGCAGTCCTCTGAAGTGGGTACTATTAGATTCCCATTTTACAGATAAGGAAACCCGGAACAGAAGCAAAGAGACTTGCCCAAGGTTAGGATTTGAACTCAGGTCGTCTGAGTATGGAATAGTTCTGAGTCTGAAGCCACAGTGCTTCAGCTCTAGTCTGAAGCCTTAGAGTCCTGGCTTCCCCTATGCCTGGAGGAGTACTCTCCTCCCCCTGCCTTCCCCTAACCAACTCCTCTCTGTACAGGAGGCTACGTCACCACTTCTGCCTTCTTGTTTCCTCCATTTATCCCCACTACTCGGTCCAGCGGGAGCCCCAGTGGTGTAGTGTTACTCATTGGGCTGTAATCCTCAAGGTCAGCAGTTTGAAGCCACCAGGTGCTTCTCAAGAGAAAGATGGGGCTTTCTACTCCCATGAAGAGTTACAGTCTCAGAAACTCACAGGGGCCGTTCTACCCTGTCCTGTAGGGTTGCTATGAGTCAGCATGGTGGTGAGTTTGGTTGTTTGAGTCTAGCCCAACATCCAGCCGACTGTACCTGTCCCCGACTGTCTTGTCTTCTTCTTCCTGCCCTCCATTCCAGGACCATAGCAAGATGTGAATCTGGCCGTACAGGGCCCTGTGCTGTCTCCAGACTGAGCTAGGCATCTAACGCTGTCTTGGGCTGGCCCTGCCCACCTCTCCAGGCACTTTTCCATAGGAACCAGGATCCTGCTGCACCCAAGGTTCCCCCTAACACCCTAGTTTTCCATATCTCCATAAGCCTAAGCCACATCCCCTTTTCTGCCTAGCAGATTGCTGTGCTTCTCTCCTGGGCTCAAAGTTCACATCTATGACACTTTGCTCGGGGGTGGGGGGGGGGTGGGCGAGGCTGTTTTGCCTGTTCTCCACCCTCCACCTCCCCCACCCCAGGGCCGAGGTCTCATTCCCAGCACTGCACCAGTGCTCTGGACTGGTCTATTGAGCATTGCCAAAGGATGACCAATGAGGAGTGAGGGAGTGGGGGCCCAGGGAGAGCCAGGCAGTGTGGGTTGGTGTGTGCGTGGGTGGGGGGTTGTGTTCATCTGCAAGGCTTGGTTATAGGTGCCTGAGCCCTTCAGCTACCTTATGGAAGGCATTCCATCTTACCTGTAAGACAAGATGTAGCCTGTGGTCCGGTCACTGAGGCGGATGAGGAAGGAGCCAAGAGCTTTGTCCCTGAGTAGCTGCTCCGACTGCCTGGGCAGAGGAAATGCTATTAGCTGGGCTCTGGGCTCTTAACACCAGCAGAACTTAGCTCTTCCCCAGAATCCCTGCTGGCCCCCAGACCCGACGCACAGAGCTCCACAGGGAGGTCCCCTCTGAACCTCAGTGGGTCTGTGCCTGTCAGAGCTCAGCCCGTGACCTGTCTGGGTTCACCCGAACCAGGCCAGGCAGCCAAGGCTGAGTACGAACTGCAGCACAGGGACTGCACAGTGTGAGGTAGGGGTCTCTTCCCCTGCTCCATGGGCTATCCAATTGCTTCAGCAATTGCTCGTTGAAAAGATCATCTTCTCCCTCATGGAACTGCAGTGATATCGCTCTTGTAAGCCAGGCGACCAAGTGTGGGGGTCACTTCCATCAGCCTCACTGCAGGCATGCACACCAGCTGCTGACCCTACCTCACACTTGTGACCAGCCGGGACAGAGGTAGCAAGAAGGACAAACCACGAGCGGAGAGTTTTAGATTTGCGGGGAGGGTGATGGTCCCTGCTTTGGAACTACTGCGCAGGAATGTAGATGCCATGAGAGTTTCTGGGAGAAGGGGGTGCTGTCGGGCCTGGCATTGTCTCCTTGAAGCCCAGGATGCTCTGAATGTTTCCACAAGGTGCCAGGTATATGAGGACATGGTGGAAAATTATAGCAGTACAGCGACCATGTATTCTCTCACCCAACACTGGCCAGCTACATAATTTGTCAGGGCCAGGGCAAAGTAAGAATTCTGGGGCGCTTGTTAAAAGAGTATTAAAGCTTTAGAGACGATGACAGCTGAGCAGTCAGTGAAGTGCCAGGCCCTGTGGCCTGGAAGGTGGTGGCCCTCTGAGCCGGCCCGGGCTCACTGCCAGGTGCGTCAGAAAGCCAAACCCCACATCTTGCCCTAGGGGGTAGCCATTCATCCAGGTTAGCCTGGGATGGCCCTCCAGTGGCAGCCCTTGTCCTGCTTGACCCACTACTAGTGACCTGGTCTGGGTGATAAACGATGTGACCTACCTACTTCTTCATCAGGGTTGGACACTTCCTACTCCCACCTGTCCTCCATCCTGTCCTTTTGGCGGCCTGGCAGCCCCAGCCCACCTAGACCTGGACTGAGAGTAGGGGTAGAGCCCTCGCCCACCCGTCCCGTGGGAATGGCTGCAAGGCAGTGGCGCTCAGCGCACTGTCCCTTCACCCTCACTGCCCCGTGGGACCCCTCTCCAGCCCAGGGTGAGTCCCCAGACCGTTCTTTCCGCCCTCGGGAAGGTGGACTCCGCTGGACACTTGGACAGGGCGGCCTTACTTGCGGGTGATGAATCCATGAAACCAGGGGGGCAGGATGCCGTTCTGCAGAATGAGGGGGGCCTGCGTCTCCGTGAACCACTTCAGGGCCAGCATCTGGAGGTCCCCCAGGGCCTGCTTGTCCCTCATCCCTTCGGACTCCCTCCCTGAGCTGACCTGCTGCAAGCTGCCTTCCATGCTGACCTAGCCCTGGAGCAAAGTGGTGCCCCAGCAGCCCCACACCCCTATATGTGTGTGTGCCAGCTCATTTGCCTATGCCCAGGCCCTCCCCAACCACCTGCAGCACACAGGAACCCCATTGTCACCTCTGGGGACATGGCTGGTTCGCCTCTCTGATGCTTTGGGGCAGGTCACCTCCCTCAGCTAGCTGGAAAGTGGGGGCGGGGGTAGCCTGAGGTAGGGAATGAGAGAGAGGAAGGAAATACTTGGTCTCGGTCCAGCAGGTGAGCTTCCTCCCTGCCTTTTGACCTCTTTCCCTGAAACCCATGGCTTTTGTTAGGGTCAAGGCCAGACCCTGGCTGGGGAGCTCACAGCACTACCTTTCAGTGCTACCTACCCTTCTCCTGTGCAGGCTACTTGTATTTCCATGAAGGGGGAAGTTTGTGCTGATTCATTCAAGGTTTATTGAGCACCTGCAGCATGTGGACCACACATTGGCTCTGGGAAGACAGCAGTGAGCCAAGCAAGATTTTGGCCCCAGGGTACATACAGCCTAGTGGAGGGAGACAGGCCACCAACAAATTGAAGGGTGAGTCAGAAAGTATTGCTACAAAATCATCAACACCTTTATTAAACAAAAAGCATTCAAATGCAAAGCTATCCTTTCTCAATATACCATTCTCCATCTCAGTCTATATAATCCTGGGGGATTTCCTTCTATCCAACCCTTTCCCAATGAAGTGCCTGGTCTGTAATTTGTGCAATGTCAAATGGCATCTTGGGCATCCTTGGGGGGGAACTCCGATTGACGATGTAGTTCACAGAGATAATGTTCTAAGTCCTGTTCGGTGAGTAGCACCTTTGATCTTCAATGCTCATGGACTGATGGGTCGTGCAAACATCGGTCTCCATGACCCTGAGACCTGAAGAACTAGATGGTGCCCGGCGACCACCCCCAAGTGTTCTGAAAAGGACCACACTAGAAGGTCCTGGGTAAAGTAGGAGGAAATTTGAACCAAACTCAGAATCTCACACGCTGTCACACATACTGGTTTGTTAGAGGAGAGGGACTCAAGAGCCTACGGCCCTTACCTTTCAGGTCTGGAACGGAACTCACCTCTGTGGTAGAATAATCAGCCCTTTAAGAGCCAAAGGGCAGCATTCTCCCCAGGGCGCAGTTGAGGTGGGTTAGGAAAAAAGAGGAATGGAAAGCGGAGACAGAGGGAAGAAGTGGGACAAGTGAGGCACCTCGAGGGGATTGCAAGTGATGAGTTGACACAAAACGTTCACAAATTCTTAAATGTAAAATGGACGATCTGTTCTCTAGACCGCTATCTAATTCACAGTAATAACAATAAGGGAATAGGTTTAGTACAAAGCTTACACTGATATGGCATATATATGTGAATATAATATATATATGGATTAGTCTAAGTACTTTAGAGAAACAACTCCACAGAAACTCATGTAAAAGAGAGAGTTTTATATAAAGGTTAACTGTGCAGCAAGAAAACATCCCAACCCAGTGCT